AGATATTTGACCAGGAGCATTTACAAAGATCGAACATTACAAATCATTTAACGTCAGTGGAATCTCATCGGATATTAGTATTTTTAAGAAAACGTTATTTAAGTTCACCGCTGAAGACTCAGCGTGTGTGGCCGGCGCAAATAACGAAGGACAAAGCTAGTTAGCTTCCCTTTAAGTGAATTATATCTACGTCAACTCGTATTCAAGTTGCTCATCGTGAACCCTCGATAAGATATCAAGGAAGTTCCAAGCTAGAAAGAAGGCTTTATATTGCTTGTAAGTTTATGAAACTTTTGTTTATAAATCATTGTTCGTAATAACTATTTGTAATAATTGTTTTTATAAATTGTATTGTTGTGTGTATATTAAAACGTATTTGTGTTAAAAAAAGAAAATTGTGTGTATCAATCCTGTTGGCAAATATCATAAACTGACTATATATCGGCTTTAATTTAAATACTAAATCTAAAGTACAATTAAACTACTAAGTTTAAAGTATCATTTAACTCGGTTAGAGACCATTTGAAATTGTAATACGTAACACTAAATCCAAAATATAATTTAACTACTAAATTTAAATTTATCAGTTAACTCAATTTCAGGCTATTTGAAATTCTAATACGTAACAGAATATAGAAATTCATCAATTTTAAACTTTAAAATAAATTAAAATCCACGCTGCCTGTTCAACCCCCGTTTTCCAAAAACAACAACAACAAAAAATATTGATATTATAGAGTGCAAGTCATATAATCCATTCACCAGAAGTAACGATGGAAATTAAATCATTTTCTTTTGTGTTTACACCTTATTTTAGTGTAAACATACATATAAAATTGTAAAGTATTTAAGTAATAAATAGATGTGTTCAGATGTGTTTTTTTGTTCAGATATTCACGCAAAGCTACAAGAAGAAGACTATTTGTGCTGGTCGTCCCTCAATTTTGAACTAATAGACATGAGTGAAGGCAGCTAGCCAATAACACCCACCGCTAACTCTTGGGCTACTTTTGTCTGACCGAATAGTTTGATTCCACCATCACACTGATAACACACCAACGGCCTCAAACTACTGAGTGCGATGTTGTTGTTGTTTTTTTTGGGGGGAAGGGCGCAATATACGCGTAGATCGAAAGTTCGCGGCGTTAATTACTGGCCCAATTAAATATTAAATATATTAAAGATAGAGAAGCTGGTATTTTCGGCCTAGTAAGGTTATATTATAGGACAATGAAAAAAAATGCCTTTCAAAATTGCTTGTCCCCCCCCCCCAGTGACACAAAGGTAAGTCTACGGACTTACAACATAGAAACCGAGTTTCGACACCCGTGGTGGGTAGAACACAGGTAGCCCATTGTGCTGACTATAGATCTCTGCATTGACAGTTCGCTGTGGATTGAGGAGTTCGAAATGAATTACTCCTTTGATGTCCCACCAAAAGCAAAGCACC